CCCCCCCCCCCCCCCCCCCCCCCCCGAGAAGATGGAAATCTCAGAATTTTCATTACAGTACTGTACTGGGGAATTCACGCGCTAGACACAAAAACCGGAATATTAACTTGCGTTATTAAATTATGTTTTACGGACTTCGTGAATTTCAGTGGGTCTCTTGAAGAAGAGAAATGCATATTCTGGAAACACGCAGACAAGTATAACGTCTCAAAACTTTAGAGGAGGAATCGATTTTCTCACCTTTTCGTGACTACTGGAAGAATATCTGTGGCGATGAGCATGAAAAAGATGAGACCGTGTGGGACTCCGGCATCCTGATGAGAATGATTTTTTTGTGTGCTTCCAAATGTATATTCTGTACATATACTGTACTGTATAAGTATTTCAACAAGGGAATCGCATGCCGTAGTTATTTTATTATCTTCCCAGTCGTTTCGTTGACAGATGGCGGGATATTTTTTTCTTCTACCACATTGTCACGCCATTCTTTTCACACGGAATTCCTTCATCATATAAAATTTCTAAAATCACCGAGAATTTTCATGATTTTTGGATCAATACAGTAGTAGCTCGTGAATAAGCCTGTATTATCAGGATCGGTGTCGTGGTGGTTACTTCACCGGGGGCGAGGAATAAGATTCTCGGTACTTCGCGGCTGTTGTCAGAGGGGGATCGAAGACGGGGGGTTGGGAAATGAATGCTGCAAGCTGATGCTGGTAATGGAGCGGAATGGGGCTAGAGCTTTCCATGCTAATTTCCGCGCGGAGGGAAGAGGATTCTTGTGTGTGCCAGTTGTTATTCGGTGTCTGGGACTGAGCAGCTGCACCATTGGCTAATCCTGAACTCGCGTTCGTGTTTGTTTTTTTGTTTTTTTCGCAAAAGACCTAGATACTGTAAAACGACTAAGGGACCGACTTGCACGCTTTTCCACGCCGGTTTTGGCCCGGAATCTTGGCGAGTTTTGAGAAACCGCCAAAAAGAAACGTCGCGTGTTCTGCATGTGACGCCCGAAAAATTGCATTTGTTCAGAAGGGTTGCGTGCATTGAAAAAGAACAGATCGAGGAACTTGACGCAAACGTGATCCTTGAATCGATGAATCAATCGATTGCAACGGAACTCTAATTTTGAAGGCTTTGCAGAACTAATTCATCCCATCAGTCGGAAAGTATCTGATTTCACCTCGATTTAGAGACGACTGGCGAATCGTTTTGATTCGAACAGCTTTATTTATATTTGATTGACTGATAATCCGCTGTAGTAAACGTCGATAATCGCCGGAATTCCGCCATTATTCTCAGGTTATGAGTAGATTGATCTGCGTTCAATCAAAATTCACTCGATTCTGTCTTCATGCGTCGTTCGAGATTTGATCATCTGAACGAAGGCACGCGATGATTAAACCTAGGCTTTGTGAGTTGCAAGCTGGTTAAATGATGAGAAAAGTTCGTTTTGGATTCCAGCAGTGGTTTTCTTTTCTGTTTTTTTTGGCACGTGAGTCGCGTATCTCAGTTCCATTGAGAAGGGCATGAAGTCCCGGGGGAAAATGATGGACACCTACCCATTTGCTTCCCTATATAAAGTAGCAGCTTTTCACGACAGAAGTGGGCAACCCAAATTAAAATAATTATTTTAAATCTGAAACGTTTCTTTTTCGAACACAGTTGCTATTACTGTACTTGCGTATTTCATCGTAGCTTACTGTCGTCTGCTGACTCGAACTTCGAATTTATGCCATAGCGTTTTCTATGATACATTCAAGTAGTTAGCAGTACAATTCTAAGAATTTGAAGGAAGGTCCGTTGCTTAGTGGTCTAATAAGCTGAACATTCGTCATTTGCTCCCCGATATATTAGTCACATATGTTTGACTCATGCCACGTTGAATCAGATTTTCGTGTTGAATCATTGAATGTGGAAATATAGAGATTCCGCGCATCATCGGTTTCAATCGATATTTTCCCCGCTGGAAGAAACTATTTTACGAGTTCTGCTACGGTATTGACGTCAACGTTTTTCTAGTTATCGGCATATACTGCACAGTGGAGGCTTTTTTGATAATACAATACAGTACCGTAAATATGGGTAAGATTTTCACGTTGTCAGGGGAAACAATTTTCAGTTAGATGGTGATGATGAGAATCTAATTTCCCGCAAATCATGTTGAATTGTCGGCAATGTTGAGCCACTTAACATGATTATCACTTTTTCGCTGTGTTGGGATTAGAGGGCCGACTTCAATCCCACTTGTATCCGGCGTATGTCACAAGTGACCCTGATCGGAAAGTTCATGCTTGAAGAAACCGTTGAGCGCATGAAAGTGTATCGGGGTCGTCACACTCGAAAGGGCTTCTTCCATCCCTGAAATTTTGAACCGTAACCGACTTGTATTGATGTACCAGCTAGGAATTCCCCAGGAAAAAAAAAATGTATCAAGAGGGACGCTGAAGTAATTTTCAGACTTCCAACCCCGCAAATTTACACGAAAAATAGCGGAGAGCTGAATATTGTTTCGAGACAAAATAATTTACTTACAGATGAAATTGAACTGTGTGACACTGAATTTACTTGAATTTTTTTCTTCTGATTGCGAGATTTCTTTCTTAATATTTGTGGTTTTTTTGAAATACAGTACTGTAGAGTACTGTACATGATAAAAAGCAATCTCAACGCAATTAAAAAAATTGAAGACGTGTATATCAACTTGAAGTTTTCATGGGTCGACTACAATAATTCCATGCAGTCGATCGTCAGAAGCAGTGTTCATCAGCCCAAGCAAAAATCGGCGAAAGCCCGTTTCCATGACGCAAAGAATCAATTTGCAAGTTTACCTGGTGGATTAATGTACTTGATCTGAAAAAAAGCTGAAACGTCTTGAATCCTCAAAAAGATGCTTTTGATGAAATGTAATTTTGAAAAAGTTGTGGGAAAGGGAGAACCTGCTGGCGTGAGAGGCAACCGATGGAAGCGGGTTGCGTCGAGTTTGGTTCTGGTTCTATTTTCTTTCATTTCGCGAGATATGTTGGTCTTTCTTTTGGTAGTACAGTACTGTGCATTGTTTCATTTTGCTTGCATGTTGTACTGCTGTATTGCACTTACTGCTGTATCTCGTAGCCGGGGTTGTGGTGGGTCTTGCGTCCGTCGGATGATTTGGGTGGTTGTCGACCGACGCAACCGTGTCTTAGTGTCGGCGTCGGTGGCAAGCGAGTGATGAGATTCGCGCTGCGCGGGGCTTGGGCAGAAGAAGCGACGGATTATTCTAGGGTGGCGGTGGGGTCTTGGTCATCGTCGTCATCGTCATCATCATCATCGTGGTGGACACGAGTCGCGTGTCGCCTGCTCAAGTCCGGCGCCGGCAGGATGTTGAAGAAGCCCGGCGAGCAGACGGACCGGAACCGACGCAAAAAACGCGTCCGGATCCGGACCGAGTCGGGCGAGCTGGTGTCCACTAACGAGGCCCAACGCGCGTCCACGTCCATCTTCATGCGAGTGACGGATCGGGGGATTTTTGTTGTGCCCACAGAGTACGCGATGCGCGGGGCGGCCGGGTTCCCGCAGTCGGGCTACGCCGAGTTGGACGCCACGCTCATGCCGCCGGGCACCGCCGCTGCAGCGGGGAACCACTTCCGAGGACCCTCGGCTTCCGGCCTGCCTGACGACCGTTTCGGTGAGTTGTGTTTCTCGTACAGCACAGTACAGTATTGTACTGTACTGTATGTGTAAATTGTACAGTTGAGCCACGATAACCCGAACCTCCCTTAGTCGAATTTCAAGAGACCAGCAACAAATTCGATTTAGGAAAGTTTTGAGTTTTGGGAAACATATACGATGTGCAGAAAATTGTAAATGGAGATATTCTGGAGCTTAAACTGCTCCTTGAAGGATTTGACAGGATGCTGAACTTGGCGGCAGAGGTGGGTTAATTTGTCCAACGAGTCTTTTACTCTCTTCCAAAGCACATCGAATTACTTTCCTACTGCCTTTTCCTGTGTCTAGAAAATAGTGGCCAGAAGACCTCGGACAATTCGAGTTTTGGAGATTTGAGAGGAGAAGCATTCGAGTTACAGAGGTTTTTACAACATTGCTTTTAAGGGAATTCAGACGGGACACTTGAAAAAAAATTGAATTGAGGACGTTTGACGTATCAATGTTCAACTGTATTTCAAGCCCCTTTTTGAATTCCCTTAGAAACAGATACATTAAAAAACCTCCAAAACTAGAATTTTCTGGACGCCCTCTGGCTATTATTTCATAGACACAAAAAATAGAAAAGCATTAAAAGCGTAACTTCGAGGCATTTTGAAAGGAAGTGAAAGAGTAATTGGGCTAATGAACCTTTGCCTATGAGTTCGGCATCCCGTCGACGCATTAAAAAAAAAAAAAACAATTTAATGCCTAGAATATTACCAACTACAATTTCCTGCAATTCTTCTATCTTTCTCCATCATCAGAAATGCTCGTTTCCTTAGCTCGAAACCTCCCTAATTCTATTTTGTTGTTGTCCGAAACTTGAGGAGGTTCGACTGTATGTGTATATAATATGCGCCGCGGATTCAAGAGGAAAAGCGAGACAACTTCGCAGTGTATATTAATGCTTTGTAATTGACCCGCAAACCGAATCCATGGAAACCGAGTCGAGCAAGTTTTTGTTGAAGAGGGATTCAGTTGTTTAAAATGTTTCTTCGGATGATGGACCGAAAAATAGTCTGTTTAGTATGATAAGATCGTACATGATACTGCCAGTCTCATGTTTGACACGAAAAAAGGCGCTTTAAAAAATTATTTATTGTGCTGATACAGTAATTGTTTTATTATTTCTGAATGTCAGTGTTGCTGTTTTGCCAACACTGAATTTATATACAGATGGATTCTCTCCGAAGAGAAATTCAAGCGAAAGAAAAGAAAATTGTTGTAGAGGACTCCTATGACATGAGTAGTGGGACCCAATGGGACGAAAATTTACAAAATTTCGCTGTAGAAAGAGAATTGTTGTAAAAGAAAGAGGGAGAGAGTCCTCCTGTATACAGTATATGTATTCTACAATTCAAATGAATCGGATCAAAATTGAGATTTAATTATGGCTGCCTATATGTTAATGATATTTGTCATTGTAAAGTAGTGGGTAAGTTGACGAATAATTTTCATCAAATAATTGGAACTTCATCGAAGATTTTTATCGCCTCTCTAACGTCTTAGAAACCCTCAAAGTGCCGAAAATTTGATTTCTTTGCCGTCTTGAATCAGGTCGATTTACCGGATCTCCAAGTTGATCGCGAATTCTTTTAGGATGGGGTGGATCCGGAAGAGAAAATGCGTTAGTAGAAACATGTCCAGTACAGTACTTGGAAGAAACTATGGGTCTCAGAGAAAAGGCCAAACAAAAAAGTATGCGAGCGATTCCATTCGGAAAACGAGTTAAATTCATGTCAAGAATACTGGAACGTAATGCGTGAGTTAATTTAAAAAGTGCAATTTGAGTATCACATTTACATTTTCTTGCTATTCGAATCAACAAAGGAAGTTATTTTCTCAAAAGCATGCATATTTGTTCAAACAACTGAACCCGAGTCTGTTGTAAGGTTATAGGTACTAGTCAAAAGACAACAATATTCAAAGTCGTTGAGAAATATGCTGCATCCCAAGATTTCGCTTCTACAGTATATTTTCAATTTCCGTAAATTGCCATTTTTCTGGTGGAAGTGACAGCGGTTTGTTTTTTAAATTTAATTCAGAAAGACGCGTTCAATTGCATTCCACAAATATGACGCCTTGAATTCACTTTGATGTGGTTATACAGTAGCTTTTAATCGGGCTCCATAAATTGCGAAGCGTGCCACAATCTTCAGATGTGTTAGTTCATGTGTTTTCGTGAGTTCTTGACATTAAATCAATATAAAATTCAGGACTGCAAATGTAATGAATGCTGAAAGATAAGCGCATGAACCAGTAATTGTTGAGGCAACATTTCCAATGAATTCCATCATGAATTTTGTGTGCACGATTTTCGTGGGAAAAATTGGCCAATTTTCAAGCTGTTTTGTATTCTTACCAGTTGAAGGTATGGCACGAAAAGGTCAAACTACATTTAATTCAATTTCAATGATGCTGCGGTATTGCTTTACGAGCAATATTTTTGGTTCCTTATGCATTGGTTTCATCACAGAAGGACGTAGCAGATTTTCTCAAACTTTTATCAATTTATTTGAAAGCCAAATCGTTACATTCGAAAAGTAAGGAAAATTACTGTGTACGAGTTCGTGAGGGTCTCTTCGATGCACTTGAAATCAGAAACGTTGAGTCATTATGAATGGAAGGGAATAAACTGCAGTTGTTATTTACAGTACTATACAGTATTATAATATTATATACAGTTCAGTTGAATTTTCTAGTACGTACATCAGCTCCGAAGTCGATCATTTTTTGGTCCAATGATCGAGTTAGTCCTGCTGTTGCAATTTCAAACAAAAATCCATTGTGAAAACGCGTGAAAAGAAACAAGTACAGTGAATTATACTGCATTCAGTCGCAATTTGTTGCCCGTTGTACGCTCTACAGAGATCTTCTTCTCGTATAAAACACAACTAAAAGATATTTCGAGACCCTCAGTCTCAGGGCTCCATTTTGACCTAGTGTGAGAGTTGAATGTGCTCGTCTCTGCATACACATCGAATTAATGGCGCACTTCTGCCCCCGGAGATCGTAAACCTCTTGAAATGGGATACCAGCTGCGTATTTTCCCATTTCGTGTCGAATGGTAGATTTGTGCGTGTGCGATTCGAACGTGCGAAAGACCCGAGGGAAATTGCGACTATTTGATGGCCTGCATCTTCATGCAAGCGATAATTTTTTTTGAGAGAGAGAAAGGCTCTAATATTGATTCCCTGCGAGTTATTCCATCACATTCTTGATCATGTACGTCGTTGGGTCGGGAGGAGAATAGAAAAAAGCAACCTTTTGCTAAAAAAAATAGAAGGAATAAAAATCTGAACGAGGATGTGGGAGAATATGGGTGAGCATTTGTCGAAAGAAATAAAAAAAAGCTGGGAAAACATTTCCCAACGAGTCCGAGTTCCTTCGCCTTTGACTGACGAAAATCAGAAGCGGCGTGTCCGCGGTGATGCGGAATGGCAGTGAAAGATTTGCGGGAATGTGTGGGGGGGAGAAGGCTTTATCAGTGATGTGACGGAAAGGCTGATGTTTTTGACACGAAATCACGAATTAGGAGTGGAGGGCAACGGCCATTACGGCACGCGGAGTTACCCGGGAGGCTTGCCCGAAAGCAGGAACAGCAATCTCCACGCGCCTAGAGCTGTCTTCGACGAGGACGATCCCCTGGGGCACCGGTCCCCGTCCCAGGCCAGCGATCACTCCAAAGGTGACCCCCCCCCGCGTTCCGGCCCCAACAACAACTCTTTTTTCCCCCCTCTCCCCTTTTTTCCTCCTCCAGGGGCTTCAAGTACCCGACCCACCTTCCTGGCTTTCCTTCGGATGACGGGTCTTTTTGCAACTTCTGTCTTTCCTGCTTTTTGTTTGTGTGTGTGTGTGTGTCAGTTTAACGTCATTTGTTTTTGAAAAAGTCGCCTACTTTTAATTCAAAATAGACTGGAACCTGATGCTCCTCATCCTCGATTAAGGTAAAATAAAAATTTAAATGGAGTTCAGAAACATTCTGGGTTTTGTGTGTTTTTCGATTGAGTTTGTTGTCTTTTTTGTCGAAGGAGTCGTTAACTTTTAATTCAAGCTGGACTGGAAACTGATGTTCTTCCTCTTCGATTAAGCTAAAAGGAAAATCCATTGGAGTCCAGAAGCTTTCTAGTTTCTTATTTGTGTGTGTATGTGTTCGGTTCGATTGAGTTCATTGTCATCTGTTTCCTTCGAGAGATTCGCTTATTTTAAATTCAAGCTGAACTGGAAATTGTTGCTCTCCTTTTCGAAACAGCTAGAATAGAAATTCAATTGAAGTCCGGAAGCTTTCTGGCATTCCAAAAAATTTTCATGCATTCGTGCTTAATCGATTATTTTTTAGATGAGAAAGGTAAATCATTTTCTCTCTTTTTTTTTTAAATTGGGAAACGAAAATAATTTGGCTTCTGTGCAGATTGAAATTTAGTTTCTGGAGATGAATTTTTCCGGTTTAAAATGGGATCGTATCATTTTTCTGGGTTGATCTGTTTTGCTAGATTTTTTTCTCTCTTTGAGTTAATGGTTTAATTTGCTGTATGGGTCGATCTAAAGATGATCTGTGATTTTTGCAAGAAGAGGATCTTGGAGTCTTTCATCGGTACTCTTGAACCGTATGCTGAACTCTGTGATACCGTATTTATTTTTCTTTATTTTACCAAGGTTGCAAGACTTATAGGCTTTTTTTTTTGATCACTTTGAGTTGATGAACAATACCCAGTGTTTCCACGAAGCGAAGTTGCGAAAAGTCCGTCTGTTTTCTTCACTAACAAACTGGAATTCGGCTTTTGTGCCCGTGGAATTGAATCCCGTTGGGTTTTCGTGGAGTGTGTATTTTCGAGTTGATCTTCCTTTGTGTGTTCCAGCATTTCGGGGATCTCGTATAGAACTGCGAAGAAGCGTTCATTTTTCGATTCTCACGAGCNCCCGGGAGGCTTGCCCGAAAGCAGGAACAGCAATCTCCACGCGCCTAGAGCTGTCTTCGACGAGGACGATCCCCTGGGGCACCGGTCCCCGTCCCAGGCCAGCGATCACTCCAAAGGTGACCCCCCCGCGTTCCGGCCCCAAAAACAACTCTTTTTTTCCCCCTCTCCCCTTTTTTCCTCCTCCAGGGGCTTCAAGTACCCGACCCACCTTCCTGGCTTTCGTTCGGATGACGGGTCTTTTTGCAACTTCTGTCTTTCCTGCCTTTTGTTTGTGTGTGTGTCAGTTTATCGTCATTTGTTTTCTTCGAAAAAGTTGCCTACTTTTAATTCAAAATAGACTGGAACCTGATGCTCCTCATCCTCGATTAAGCTAAAATAAAAATTTAAATGGAGTTCAGAAACATTCTGGGTTTTGTGTGTTTTTCGATTGAGTTTATTGTCTTTTTTTTCGAAGGAGTCGTTAACTTTTAATTCAAGCTAGACTGGAAACTGGTGTTCTTCCTCCTCGATTAAGCTAAAATAAAAATCCATTGGAGTCCAGAAGCTTTCTAGTTTCTTATTTGTGTGTGTATGTGTTCGTTTCGATTGAGTTCATTGTCATCTGTTTCCTTCGAGAAATTCGCTTATTTTCAATTCAAGCTGAACTGGACATTGTTGCTCTTCCTTTTCGAAACAGCTAGAATAGAAATTCAATTGAAGTCCGGAAGCTTTCTGGTATTCCAAAAAATTTTCATTCATTTGTGCTTAATCGATTATTTTTTACATGAGACGGTAAATCATTTTCTCTCTCTTTTTTAAATTGGGAAACAAAAATAATTTGGCTTCTGTGCAGATTGTAATTTAGTTCCTGAAGATGCATTTTTCCGGATTAAAACAGGATCGTATAATTTTTCTGGGTTGATCTGTTTTACTAGATTTGTTTCTCTCGTTGAGTTAATGGGTTAATTTGCTGTATGGGTCGATCCAAAGAAATGTCTGTGATTTTTGCTGTGAGAGGATCTTTGAGTCTTTCATCGGTACTCTTGAACCGTATGTTGAACTCTGTGAAACCGTATTTATTTTTCTCTATTTTAGCAAGGTTCCAAGACTTATAGGCCTTTTTTCTTGATCACTTTGAGTTGATGAACAATGCCCAGCATTTCCACGAAGCGAAGTTGCGAAAAGTCCGTCTGTTTTCTTCACTAACAAACTGGAATTCGGCTTTTGTGCCCGTGGAATTGAATCCCGTTGGGTTTTCGTGGAGTGTGTATTTTCGAGTTGATCTTCCTTTGTGTGTTCCAGCATTTCGGGGATCTCGTATAGAACTGCGAAGAAGCGTTCATTTTTCGATTCTCACGAGATGTTTGCTTCGAGTTTCCTTCCTGTGTGTCTCGGTTTGGTGCTTCTAGTGCTGTTTTCTTATCCTTTCCTTCTGGTTTTTTTTTCTTCGTGGGAAGCGCGTTCTTGAGCTGAAGTTTCAGTCGATGAAGACTTGTTTATCTCTCTCTCTCTTTTTGATGATGCGAGTCAGGCCGGGTTCCGAATCCGTGTTTTCAAGTCTCTTCAGGAATTAAATATTTTTCATGTGTCGCCTATGTGTGGTTGGACTTTCCGAAATTCATCTTCGCTGGGAAAAATTGTGCATGGAGTGGAATTCGGCGGTGGTTCAAGGTTTCTTCCGCGTGTTTCTGGTTTGTGGTTTTCTCGAGTGATGTGGAGGGAAATCAGTGTTCCATGACAAACTGCCCAGACTTCATTTGTGGCTGTTGTTGTTGTTGATAGTGCGATGGAGAGATCCGGACTTGCACGAAGTCATCGAGTTCCTCAACCACCCCAATAACATGGTGAAGGCGAATGCTTGCGCCTACCTGCAACACCTGTGCTATATGGACAACCCCGTGAAGCAGAAGACCAGGGCCCTGGGCGGGATCCCACCTCTGGTCCAACTCCTGGGCCACGAATCGCCCGACGTGCACAAAAACGCTTGCGGAGCCCTCAGGTACGTGCCATTTCTTCCGCGGTATTGTGCAATGTTTTTTTTTAATAAAAAAAGAACTAATGCACAGTATTGCAAACTTTTTGTGTGCCTTTGACGGCGTCTCAGAGTAGCAAGGGAAGTGCATGGTTGCTTTTGAAGATACACAACTTCAAACATACACGACTTCTTGGATGAAATTCAGATCCGAAATAGTGAATTCTCGTTACAACGAATGTCAGTGAATTCTCGTTACAACGAATGTCAGTGAATTCTCGTTACAACGAATGTCATCTTGCGACGCATTTTTCAGTGTGAAAAAGCTTTCCTTGAGGCCCGACAAAAAGTCCGTAGAGTACATGTTCAGACGATCGTTTTATAAAAAATTTCCCGATTCCATTATAATGAACTTTTTTGGGGAATGTTTAATAGATTCTCCAGGTAACAATTTCTTGACTAAGTCGGGCACAGTCTGAAATTTCCCATCCCAAATGTGACTGGAGGATTCTTGTAGTATGGCTTAGAAGCTGTAATCAATGACGGAACTTGTTTTCAATTGACTTTGTTCACATCATCAAGTTGAACACATCATCCTCCCAGAATGAAGAGATTGGTGCAACTGATGGAATTCATGATTGAAGCTAATTTGTTTTAGAAGATTACCCAGTTTCTAAAACAACAATACAAAAGCCGAGAATGCTTGAGAAGCAAGATCTAATTGGTGATATGCAGGTCTGATGTGATAATTTTCTCGTCATTAATTTTGAAAATCTAGCGAACAAATTATTCAGTATAACACACTTTTTCTCAAATCTGTTCTTAATTTTGTTGTAACGAGATTTCACTTCAATAAATAGGAAGAATTCTTACTAAATTTTTCAAATTAAGTGTACGGAACTAAATTTTTTTTTGAGTGTTCGAGGAGATTTAGTTGGTAGGATAAGCAAGAAGTAAATCACCGGACTCCTTCAAGTCTAAAGAAATTCATGGAAAATTGTTGTGTATTTTCGGGGAAAATTGTCTCTTTCTTCGAAACTAAAAATAAATGGAATAGGTACTTCTCGTAATCATGGGTATCTTTTATCCGAGTACAGTACTGTAATACGGTAGCCCTTTTTCTTATCGCCTTTAATCTACTAATGTGGTTTTTTTGTTCTATTGTTTTGTTTTTTCCTTCATTGCCAAAATAATTCCTTGCCATGTTTAAATCTTGAATGATGATCTTGGCTGTATTTTTTTTAAACTCTGAGTAACTAGTTTTCCGTTAACAGCTACGTTTCTTGAAAACATCAGCAAGGTAGCAAACTCTTCTGAATCTACTGAATAACTCTTCTGAAAAGGCAAGGGTACGAAAATAGCACTAGAAGCAGAAGAGATTCAGAAAGTTATTCTATAGTCAAATTTTTGTCATTAGCTGCGATCGTAAAGGAGCAAAAAACGGGAACTTTTAAACGCAGGGTAAAGCTTCTTAAAAACTTGCGACGCGAACGATTGACAATCGCGCGAGCTTCTTCGTCCGAAGTATGGCTAATGTATCCGTGAAGGTGAAGCTATCACAATT